CCTTCCTTTTCAAGGTGCTTTGTAAATGTGTCACTTTAATTACATTCTGAGTTCTGTTTGACAGGTTCTGTCTCTGTCTGCTCTTTATGTTTTTGTTGTTCTGCTCTGTGTGTGATTTTCTGTTTATCTGATTCTGTTATTTTCCACTCACTCCTCAGTCTGCCTCTCCACTCAGTCTTTATCATTCACACCTGTTCCTCATCAGCCACTTGCCCAGGTGCTCTCATTACTCACTCTCCCTCTGTTATATAAAAAGCCTTTCTATCCTTCACTCCTTGTCCGGTGATTGTTCTGTGTTCACAGACATCAGTCCTCTTCTGTCTTGTCTGTTTTTTGTCCCCCCTGATGATCTGCTCTGCCTTGTTTCTGATCCTGTCTGCCCAAGTAAGTTTTGCTGCACCGACAGCCTTTTGTTTTGTTATTAAAAATAAATTGTTTTTGTTTTTGAACTCCTGCCTCGCTCGCCTCTCTGCATTTGGGTTCCAACACTGAGGATCGTGACAGAATCACCGGACCAAAACCCAGCGAGAGGATGACTACTCTGAGTTTTTTGCCCGTGAGGCAGAAAAGACTGCCCAGAAAGACAGAGAAAGGGAGGAGAGGAGGAATCCATTTTGGGGGACCCGCCTGGCCATTAAACCTCGGTCCTCACAGCCTCTCCGTCCCTCTCCGCCTCACCGCGCCACTGCACCCCGCTGCCCATCCCCTCCTCGCTCTCCACCTGGTGGGGCCAAGCAATCATCAATGACCGGACCTGAACCCAGCGGGAGGATGATTACTCTGTTTGAGTTTTTTGCCCGTGAGGCAGAGAAGACTGCCCAGAAAGACAGAGAAAGGGAGGAGAGGAGGAATCCATTTTGGAGGACCCGTCTGGCCATTAAACCTGGGTCCTCACAGCCTCTCCGTCCCTCTCCACCTCACCGTGCCACTGCACCCCGCTGCCCACCTCCTCCTCGCTTTCCACCTGGTGGGGCCAAGCAATCATCGGAGAGAGAGGGGCAAACTGCTGGTCCTCCCCGAACCCAGCGCAAGAAGGGGAGAGTTTTGCGAAGGGAGGGGTTCATGGCTCCTCCACCACCTGCTGCTGCAGCCCCGTCTCTGGTCTCTGGTTCTCCAGCTGCAGCTTTGTCTCGGGTTCCTGGTTCTCCAGCTGCAGCTCCGTCTCTGGTCTCTGGTTCTCCAGCTGCAGCCCCGTCTCTGGTCTCTGGTTCTCCAGCTGCAGCTCCGTCTCTGGTCTCTGGTTCTCCAGCTGCAGCTCTGTCTCTGGTTCCTGGTTCTCCAGCTGCAGCTCCGTCTCTGGTCTCTGGTTCTCTGGTTCTCCAGCTGCAGCTCCATCTCTGG